CACCACAACAAACGACAAGACAACACGAGGCAATGGTAGATACACAATTACAAGATATAGCAACTGCAACAAAGCGGAAAGCGGAAGAAGTAGGCAGAGCGATGGCATCAAATTTAAGAGAGATGGGCGGGACATTATTTCATAGAATGGTGGCAAACAGACAATCAGCACCAACAGAACCACGACAAGCGCCAGCAGGTAGAGCAGTAGCAGACGACCAGCAAACAATGCGCGTAGAAGATGTTGAACTATCACCTCAAGCAGTAGATGACAATTTTTACGCGACACCAGTTCAACAAGCAACAGGAGCATCAAGTTCAACAGCCCAACAACCACCACCATTGCCAATGACGCCATTATTTAAAACAACAATAGATAATACTATTAGTCCCGCTTACTGGAAAGACAACCCTAATTTAACAGTAAATGATATTAAATTTCAGTTTTATTTAAGAGGAATTCAAGTGCCAGAAGAAAGCGAAATACAGGAAGAATTGAAACACAAGGGCAGAGGCAAGGCGAGATCATACAAAGAATATTTAGTGGATATGATTTTAGACACTATTGATAACGGCGGTTGGATAGCAAATTTAAGCAAAGGTAGAATAGAAGAACTCAAGACAGGTTTTAAGGGTAAAGGTAAGAAATAAAAATATAAATAACAATAATAATGATAATAATAATAATAATGATAATATTAACTAAAAATATACTGAAAAGAAAGAAGCAGAAGTTCAATGATAATTATGATCACGACGACAGTTTTTCAATACATAACCTAACAAAACCAAACACACCAACAACAACACAACCACCGAAAATGATGAAAAAGGGCATACCGAGAGAATTTATTGACATTGCAACCAATACAGATACAATCGCCACAGAAACCAGAGAGACTCAAGAAAAGTTATATAATGATGCAAATCAACAATTAAATATGACATTTGAAGCGTTTAAGGTAAAGGAAAACCAAGATAATATGTTTAAAATAATGCTTAAAAACTTTTGGCACAACACATACAAAAGACATGAACCAACAAGAACGCAAGCAACACAAACACTGAAAAACCAACGCGACACAATGGTGTCAGCCTTTACTAAAATGCTCGACAACAACAAACCACCAGAACCACCGCCAAAGAAACCACCAGACGAGGAGGACAGCGATGAAGAAGAAAAAAGATTCAAACTGACAAAAGTGATAGAAATAATGCTACACAACGGCGCTACAGTAGCAGATGTAATATTAAACTTATCACATAGCGCAATTGCAACAACAATAAATATCGCAGATTTAGTTAATCAAATAACAGCAGGAAATGCACAAGGTAGCAGTAGTTCTTCTAATGAAATTGTTAGTGTTCATAGTTCTCCACCTATTACTGTTCATAGTTCTTCATCTGAAAGTCCAACAGAAATACCAGCACCAACTGAAGACGAAGAAGAAGAAGACGGAGAAGAAAAACAAAAATATAATTTTGAAAAATTAAAATCTAAATAATATTATATATAATGGGTTCAAGTAAATCAAAACCAGTAGAAATTGATGATGAAGAGGCTATTAAAGTAATAAAAGATATAGATGTAAATACGATAAGTGAAATGTCAAGAATTGATATTCTACAAATAAATTCATTGAAAGCAATAATAAATAAATTAGAAAAAGTTAATGAATGTAAAAAAGATAAAACATATTATAAATTTCCTGCCTTAAATTTATGTAGCTATTCCTTATTCTAAATTGATAATATTAACATACATTAATATTATTAATTACTATCATAATCTGTCATTTCATCTTCTGGTAATTTTGTTGAGGCATTGCTACACATATCATCTATTAAATCTTCTTCATCAACAAAGTTATTTTGAAATCTTAATAATTCCTCGTCTGTTGGTCGTCTTTTTAACACTTTATAAAGTTTATGTATCCAAGAATTAGTATGAAAATTGTAATTACCTCTACGATAAAATCCACCACATCTACATAGTTTCATTAGCATATTATTATATTATATTAAATTAGAATATCTTTATTCATCATTTGTAATTTGAAATGCCTGTTCAAAACGGAGAAAAAACATGTCATTCACATTCTTAGCATTCATATTCACGTAGAAGAAACTATAAGGTGCGTCATTCACTGCTTGATGATACATATCTAATAATTGCTGTTTGTCAACAATGGCGCTATTTTCTTCAATAAAACTCATTAATTCACTGGCATTTTTCAACCTAAAAATATATAATGAACTGGCATTTAAACGAATGATAGGCGCCAACACATTATATTTCTGTGTTGAACAAATTACGCTTACTGCATCGTGCCTACCTCTTGTAAATAATCCATGTAATAATTTACTATATCTAACAAATTTAGGATCGTCGGCATGATCGTCTATAACGATTAATATTGAATGTAGTTTCTTTATCTTTTTAGATTTCATATAATTAATTATTTTCTTCTGTCTTTCAATTACATTTTCTAAATCACTTGGATTATAATTATCAAAATAAATTTGTTCTTTTTCATCATCCACGTGCAATTCATCCCTGATATATTTTTTAACTTCTGTAAAGGTTGGGTCATTATGAACGCTGGGGGAAAATATAAATATTCTTGCAAATGAATTTCTATAAACATTCAATATTAAATTTTGAATAAGGACAGTCTTACCGCCTGTCGAACTCGCAACTATAATACTTCTAAATGGTAATTTTGGCACGTGCTCATATTTAGATTGTTTGAATTCATATTCAGTTATGTTTATTGGCTTTATTATTGGAACATCTGACATAATAAAATAATATTAAAGTTATTTAGAAAATATTTTATATTGATTATTTTATATGAATAGAAGCTATTCAGATTATATCAATATAATAGATGAAGTAGAGAATATAGAACAGGTTGTTATAACTGATAATAGATGTAAAAAAATATGTTATTTTATTTTAGAATTAATTAAGTTTGTGATACAATATATCAAAAATAAAAATGTAAATATTAATATAAATGGGAAGAAAGAAAAAGAATAAGACTGAACCAGTTGTTTCTTCAACTGATGAAGAAAAAGAAGAAGTTGTTAAAGAGACATCAGTTATTGAGTTTGCTTGTCCAATGTGTAAAAGAATATTAGAAATGAAAAATGAATTAGAAATACAAAAGAAAGGAAACTGTAAATGTTCGTGTATTCCAGCCAGTTTCAAAATAAGTAGAAATGATAAGAAAATGAATATTGATAAAACTAAAGACAGTATCAACTTAGAAACAGATGTTCATAATATTGCTATACGCTTTGGGAGGGGAGTTACTCCATCCGATAATGGTGATAAGGAAACTCAGGAAACTATTAAACAAATGATGAAAAATTAGTATTTAAAGAGTAGATTTAACATAATTTAAACATTTAGTTTTAAAAGTTTTATTTTATAATATAATATATATATTTACATGGATGAAGGATTAGAAAAGATGGTTAAAAAACTGAACAAGGTTTTAGAACAGAATAAGAATATTTTAGAAATCTTACAAGAAATGGAAAAGAAGAAACCGTTAACAAACAGTTATCAAAGTAAAGAAGTAGATAGAACCAATGGTGAATATAAAAATAAAAGAAATATTTATTTAAACAAACTTAATAACAAAGAAATTAAAGAACCGAAGTCTTCCACTATGACATTTTATCAAATCGACTATGATGAAGATACAGGGATTTATTCTTGATTGAAAACATTTTCTCTGTTTCCCTGAAAATGTATTTAAAGAAATATTACCTTAATATATTAAGTAAAGTATGTGCGACATTAATAATCTACCATTGGAAATTAGATTGAATATTATGTCATATCACTGTTATGATATATGTCCTTACAGGTATAATGATATTCTTAAAAACCATTTTCCAACTTGGGAAAGAGTAAAAAGAAACCCATTCTGGGCAATGACTTTAACGGAAGCATTGGATGATACCAAATATGATTATGAAATATATTTAGAATTGAAAGCGTTCTATAATTATTCCTACATATATGATATTGAAAATAAATTTAAACAGCTCTGGTTCATTGATAGTATTGATGACAAAAGAAAACACTTGAGAATGGGTTATTACGATGCAATGAGAGCACTGTTGGAAATGATGCCATTCAGAACAGAGGCAGAATGGCATATCCGATTTTATCATATATTAAGCACGGAAGACTTCTATGACGAGGATGAAGAATTTAGCGATAATGAAAGCACGGCTAGCTATTATTGAGATGAATGTTTCAGTTCTTGATTATACTATAGTTACAACATATAAGATCTTATATGTTGTAATTTTAGTTTAATTTTCCCGTATAAGCCGTGGGGGTGCTTTCCTACATAGGCCTTTCCCATCCGCATATTGCCATCCATATTTTACTGGGATTGTTTTCAAGATTTGGGTTAACGGTTTTAATTCTCCCTTTTCCATTGGTTAACCATTTTTCGGGGCGAACATAGCGTTCTTGTTTAGACTGTTTGTATTTGTTGGAAATGGGAAAGGGTCTCAGGTTGGATCAAGGGAGAAATTATTGAGATCTTGGGGTTGCGATCTTGGGAATGGAAAAATGTTGGTATGTAGCTTGGATTTTTTTGGTGGGATTTGTTGAGGTGGTATGTAGTTATGATTGTTGTTATTGAATGAACATAGGGGTGATGTTGAGATGGGGTAAGAAATGAAGATGGGTATGTGAATATGTGTTTTTTGGTGTTGGATTGGTTGGGTGATTGAATTTGAATGTTGAAAATAGGCTGTTTTAGTGGGCGTATTCAGAATGTGCCCAAAAGTGTGGGGGGGACCCTATGACCGGATGGCAAAATGCGGACGGGAGAGGCCACCACTAACTCCCCCACCCCCACCCCCACCCCCCACCCCCACCCCCCACCCCCACCCCCACCCCCCCACCCCCCACCCCCCACCCCCCACCCCCCCACCCCGAAGGGAGGGGGTTTCGTTGATGGATTGCGCCTGCACAAACTGCAGCACCTGGTGGTTCTCGAGGTACTCCTTCGCCTAATATCCAGCTTCAGTCCTCTTTCGCCCTAGAAACATCGAGGAAATTCACAGGGGATCACAAAAAAAACAGAATAGGGGATCCCTAAAATAGGGGTTTGTCTCAAAAACTAGGGCTTCCCTCAAAGTAGGGGAAGCCCAAAAAAAAAGGGGAAGGGATCTCCTGGGAGGTTGCATTGAACAAACTGCTTTGTAGAAAACCCAACCTCCTAGGAGGTCGCACTCTCCCAAAAAAAACATGCTGAGATGTCGGTTGGGCTTCCCCTGTAGAACCCACCAGGAGGTTCCCTAGAAACAGGGCACAAATGCGATCCAATCCCAGCGCTTGAGGGAAGGGCACTCAAGATCTGTCAGCTCGAACGCATGTGCGATGGGCCTCTGGAAGAACTTAAGGTCAAAAGGTCGAGTTCAGGCAACTGTGAGAAAAAAGAATAATCCTATCCTTTGTGATACCAATCTAGACATTTCTCTACTTATGTTTGTCTCTTGCTTTGTTTTCACTGGTCCATCAATAGGTAGTCCCTGGACAGGCACACTTTTTTCCTGGAACTTGAATCAATCTGGTGAATGCGGGGGGGAAGCTTTTGAAAAAGTAATCCAGAGTCTCTCGAAAATGGTTGACACAGCTCATGTCAAAAGTCAAGTGCTGTATTCATCCGCTCCCATGAACTGAGAAGACAAGGGTCAACGGTGGCCCCGGAATTTCTCGCAAACTGAAACCTCCACTGAAGGTCCAAAAAGGGAAAAAGCCTGACCTGCCCATGTCAACTCTTCCAGACCTCACTGCCGAGGCACATCCTTCGCGCTAGCGACGGCCTGGAGTGTCTGGTCTTTAGGGATTTTCTTTTGGTTCGCTTTTGAACCCACCCCAAAAATGGCACCCTTGCACCTTACTGTTGGTTCAATTTGTCCCTATCTGTTGCAAGACAATTTTGGGGATATTGGGTAGGGCGCTGATGTCGAGGTCATAAGGTACATGCACCAGCTTCCCCTCAGGCGATGATTTGGAACGGAGTGGAAGCCCGCTTTGACCCAGGAGATACTTGGGTCCCCCCATTTCGGACAAACCTGTGGAGACAGCTATGCCATCTCAGCATAAAGTCAGCTTCACCGCCAACTATGTGTGCGTGCGTGCGTGCGTGCGTGCGTGCGTGCGTGCGTGCGTGCGTGCGTGCGTGCGTGCGTGCGTGCGTGCGTGGGTGGGTGGGTGGGTGGGTGGGTGGGTGGGTGGGTGGGTGGGTGTGTGTGTGTGTGTGTCGCCACAAAGGCAAAGGGGACCCCACAAAATGGGCTGTGCTTCATTTCCGCCGAACCCCTCCCACCCAAAAAAAGAGGACCCTCAAAACAGGACGCCTTCGGTGTGTCGGGTGTGGCTTCTGCACGACTTGCAGCTTCTTTGACTACTTTGCGGCACCTTGCATGAACACAGTTTTCCATCTCCCTGGCGAGTTTCCAATCGCAAAGGAATTGATGTTCGTACCAATCAACTGTCAGAGAGTGCTGATTAGCTACCTCACGCGTCGACTTTGCGGGCCCCAAGTCTTTGGTGTGACATGTAGCGCCATGTCCCGAACACCACAAACGCGCCTGAAAATTCGAGAGAGCCAGACATGGAAAAGCCAGTATGGGGGGCGGGGGCGTGAACACCCCCCAAAGGCCGAAGACCCCAACTCCGCTCATCTGTTGAAACAGCTGGGAGCCGTCCTTGGAATCCTTGTCAAACCCAAGAAACCGTCGGTGTGTCGATCGGCTTCAAAGTGACACCAGCACTCTCCTTGGTCAAAATCCACCTGCCCTGAAATTCATTGGGGACCCTTTGGACATCATCAACATTGGGGGGGGGGGGGGGAATTTCCGCCTACCCGTTTTTGAGTGCGTTCCCTCAAAAAACAAAAACGAACGCCAACCCAAGCTCAGCCCTGTCTTTCCCTTTCCCTTGAACCCCCCGACTGGCCGTCACCCCACCTCCTGCTTCCGATCCTCCACTTCCGCCTTCGGCTCGCTGCCGTCCATCTGGCACGGGTCCCCCAGAGATGCGGATCCATGGAGGCTGGGAGGTAGGGAATGACCGTTCCGGGTGTTGGGATTCAAAAAAGGAATTCCCTTAAAGGAAACCATACAGTATGGTTTACAGCGGGTCAGTCCAGTTATAAGGACCTACGCTATCCTACGATGACCCATGCCACCCTACGCCCAATCCAGAAGCAACAAGCGACCTCCGCTTCAGCTTCTGCCAAAGTTTGGTTCACTGACTCATCAAGGACCATTGTCACAGTCTCCGACGATATCAGCCGCTGTGCAACACTTCCCACTAGAGCCACATGAGCCACCAAAATCAAGCATGTCTCTGACACTCTTCAACGGCAAACAGGTCACTTAGGGATCGCTCAAACGGTTCACTTAGGGATCACGGTCACTTAGGGATACACGCTCACTTGAGGATCACATTCACGGATCACTTAGGGATCACATTCATTGATGGGGGTGGGGAGGGGGGGGGATGATAAGCACACCCGCTCAACAGCTGCAGACCAGCCTGCTCCTTTACCGGATTACAAAGTAACATGGCTCTGGGGAGGGGGGGGGATGATAAGCACACCCGCTCAACAGCTGCTCCTTTACCGGGTTACAAAGTAACATGGCTCTGGGGGGGGGGGGGTTGGGGGGTGCATGGTAAGCACACCCGCTCAACTGCTGCAGACCAGCCTGCTCTTTTACCGGATTACAAAGTAACATGGCTCTGGGGGGGGGGAATTGGGGGGGGCATGATAAGCACATGCGCTCAGCTGCTGCAGACCAGCCTGCTCGTTTTCCGGAATACAAAATAACATGGTTCTGGGGGGTGGGGGTGGGGGGGGCATGGTAAGCACACCCGCTCAACTGCTGCAGACCAGCCTGCTCTTTTACCAGATTACAAAATAGCATGGTTCTGTGGTTTGGGGGGGGGGCATGATAATGAACTGCTTCATCCCAGCAAATTCATCTCTTTCTGGGGGTGGGGGGTGGGGGGGGGGGGGGATGATAAGCACACCCGCTCAACTGAACCAGCCCAGCCTGCTCTGTAACGAAATGGGGGCATGATAAGCACAACCGCTGAACTGCTTCATCCCAGCAAATGCATCTCTTTCTGGGGGTGGAGGGTGGGGTGGGGGGGATGATAAGCACACCCGCTCAACTGAACCAGCCCAGCCTGCGCTGTAACCTAATGTGCAAATTCATCAGGTTCTGGGGCATACGCCGCAGGGCATACATGCACACAACCACATACATGGACTCGCCAGCATACATAGTAACATATGTCATGAAACATACACGTCACATATGTCATGCGATATACACGCCGACAAGCACAAACAAGCGCATACATGCTCGCGCATGCGCGTATATAAACATACATCGCGAGCAAACATATCAACACGCATGCGTGCGCGACAAGCCTTCTGCAAAAAGCGATCCCGGAGCGATCCATTTGCGCGATCCCTAAGCGAACCATTCTTCGCGACGCCTACTGCCCCTCTTCAACTGTTCAGCCGGCGCCGTGCTGTAGGAAACGCCAAGATGTCTCAGGCAAAACCGAGCATAACTTCCAGTTGAACCACACCAGGCGCCTCCGCTGACGCCAGCCGCAGTCGGCAGCATCAAGCTGCAAAGGCAGTTCCCCCAATGACGCAGTGACAAGGTTCTGGATTGTCTGCCATGGGCACTGCCTCCTGTAACCAGAAAAAGGGTATGTTGAGAGACTTCAAAACATATTTCAACATATCCCGGGCCTGCACAAATGTGCAAAAGGAACTGTTGACATGGGCAGCTTCCTGCAAGAAGGCAAAAATCAGGACAGTGCTTGGCCACAACGGATTGCAGCCACTGCCGTGTGATGGATGTTGCATCGCCGCACTGCTGCAAGCTAGGGAAATTATGTTTGGAGACTGCTGTGCAAAATGGGTCAACCTCAAAGCTGAAAAAGCTGTTTCCTTGAGCGCTTGCCAAACAGCACCAATGCCATCAAACAAGCTGACAACCAACAAGGTCTTCGGCCTCCCCTGGCAGGATTGTGCTGCAGAATTCGTCATGCGCACGGCGCTGGGCGCCTCAGGGCAACAGTCCCGCGACCCATGTGAAAGTTGCACATTGGTCTGAAGAGCTGCTGCTGCAGAGGAACAACAACCCCCCGCCGCAGAGTCAGACCTAACTGTCGCCTGCAGCGAGGGGAGTTGTCCCTATTTGTGCGCCTCGCACCGTCGGTGCGGTTTCCCGCGCGGCTTGCCATTCACCAGGTAATTGCAAACATGCGCGCGCCCGTTCGTGCGCTGCTGCATTGCACTTGCCGCAGTTCCATAATTTGCAAATGGCTTTGCCCTGAGCAGTGGTGTCGGCAACTGCGCCATCATCCTCCCGCTTTCGCTTAGGATTGGGCGGGTCGACATCCACAACCTCCCGGGCCGCTTTCACGTCGTTGGCGTTGGCCCATAACCAAACCGCTGCTACCTTGGCTTCGCAGTGTTGCACAGCTTGGTCGAACGTCAAACCGTTCCGCATAGCTTCAGCCCACAGAGACCGCGTGTCCTCGTCTGCCTGCTTCAACGAGGCCAAGGGCTGCAGCTGGCCTGTCAGGGGGGCAACTTTGCTTCGCACAAAGCATAGGTATTCGCGGACCGCCTGCATGAACCAGAAAAGCTTTCCAGTGTTTGAATCCACGAAATTGCCCACAAGAACGAAGCCGCCCGCAAGCAAGAGCTCAAGCAGGTGGAGGTACACCATGACGGTGGGCACAGCGCACGGGCCTTTGGGCAAGCCGGCCGTTCCAAGATGTAAGCTGAAAGCTCCGTCAACCTTGATCCGCTTGCCAGCAGAACCGGGATCAAGGTGTGGCACTTCCTGTCGACCCCTCGCTTGATTCGGCCGATCAAGGGATATCACATAGGCTCTCCGACAAGGTCAAACTAAAGCGGTACCTTTCGAGGAAGCGCTGCCGCAGACCCTCGCCAACATGCCCAGGCAGCGGGTCTTCCAGATCATCCTCTTTGAGGCCTGAGGCCTTTCTCTGCAGACGGAGAGACTCCGCGCGGTGACCTCTCGCCACAGTTCCGTGAGCATGCCTTTCAGCGCTTGTGGGTTGGGCACATGCGGGAGCTTGGAAACAACGACTGGCATGATTTCATCCCTTGTGTCGATGTAGTTAGCAAACCTGGCCGGCGTGGTGATGGCTTCCTGCTGAAAGAAAGCCAGCAGCGCGTCGGGAAAACCTCGGTCCACAAGTTCTTGACGCCACCCTGGTTCCAGGGGCACTGGGGCAGCCATGTCACTAAGTGAGTGTGCCACGCGCTCCTTTGTTGTTTGAACCAAAGGGCTTCGAAACACAACCTTGCCACTAGTGTTTTTAAGGCGTGCACGCCACGCATTTGCACAAGCAAGCGTGAGCGACTCGGGCTTTCCATGAGAGCGCTAGTCAGTGGCATTCATAGCACAAAAGACATCAGCCGCGCACCTCTCACACCATTGGCGGTTTGGGAACAACTGCACAGCAGTGTGTGCTCCCACGCCAGTGCTGGGCTGGCCCTTGGCAGTGCAACAGAAAGGTCGACAAAAGCCCTCGCTGGTTAGCTTGGACGGGTGACACCTGTGAATTCTTGCATGTGGCGCATTGGGAACAACCAACTCAAAGATCTCAAATCCGCACAGATGCCTCCAGACTCTGAGCCTGAAGGAGCAAATCATGCCAGGTCAGCTCGTAAAAATTAGGAGCCGAGCGCAGAAGTGCGTGGCGGATGCTTGCAAGCACGTGGAGCTTTGCTCGTGCTTGAGCAGCGAACTTGGCCGACTTGTCAGTGTAGCGTACTGGCATAGAAGAGGCCAGGCCACGATGGTCTGAGTCGAGCGGGTCAGTCCACGAGCCCAGGACCTCTCGTACGGCTGAAGCTGCAGGCACTCAGCAACACTTTACGACGCTTCGCGTGGGCCCCAGCTGGCAGGAGCCAGTTGCCAGGCAGCAGTAGACATGGGCACCAGCGCGAAACCCGTGGCCCTTGTCACGCCCGATCGAAAAGGCATAAGGGCGGGAAGCAGGAAACTGACTTGGCCGGATGTGAACTTGCGCCACTTATCGTGAGCGAAGGTACCCAGCTCAGACTCCCAAAGCCCTGACACAGGCATTGCCCAGTCAAAAGGCGGGGCCTTTTGGCACCCACGGCGGGTTTTCCCTTGTGGCTGCACTGGAGCCGCCATGCACCGTCACCTTGCTCAACAAACTTGCTTCTTTGGGCATGCTTGAAGCGAACCCCGGAGTAGGTTAAGAGGGCGGCCATTGCGCCCAGAAAAGCAAGAACTTCGTTGGTGTTTGGCAGGCGCGCTATCGGACAAAGCAGTGACGAGCTCATCTTTGAGATCCATGTCAAAGCCCAGATGGTCCTTCAAAAACTTGAGGCCTGACATGACTGACCCGACTGCACCAGGACCACCAGCGTTTTTCCGGCTGACGCCTTTTCCTTCAAACACGTCCGAAATGAAAAGGCAAGGAAAGCCGATTTGGCCGGCAAAGTCGAAAATCGGTGGGAACTTCGCCAAACACCAGGCTCGCCACCGTCTCCACGCAGCCAAAGCATATCTCAGGGTTTCTGGTGAATAGGAAGACAGTTTGGCTTTGAGCAAGTTGCCTCAAGTTATCCAGCATGTTAGCCGGACATGCTTTCACCTGGTCTTTCCTGCTGAAAAACTCCCAATTGTCGAAGAACAACTGCACCAAGTTTCTGGACAGCGCGCTGGTCCTTTCAAGGCTCGCCGGCAAGTTGGCTGGCGCAGGCCGAATGGTTGCTCGTGACCTTTGAAAGCCTGTAGGCGCGCCAAG